CCTCCTGCTCTACGCGGAGCTCTTCTCCCCCCACCCCGCGAGTATCGCGGGTCCCCTTTCTTGTAAAACTTAATGTTTATAATATAAAAAAGATACATGTATCTATTAGCAAAGAATTAAAAAACATATAAGGGCCCAATCACACCTCATGTAAAAATGGCAAAATCTTACACACCAGGGCCAAATTTTACTGAGGACGCTTCGGCTAAACAATCTTCGGAAGGCACTTTCTGGACCAGAAATTAGTATCAGTGAAATATCATTTGGCATGTGATTGCATCTTTGGAGGGCTCATTTATACTTGTATTCCATCCCTAGTGGTTTCACTTTGGAACAATTCTTTTCTGGTCCATCTTGTATCTATGTTGCATAATTGTATGATTGTACTGTATTATGAAGGAGCTGCGGTGGCTCAAGGGGTTAAGATGCTGAACTGTAGGCTGTGGAGGGTCGGTAGTTCAGCAGTTCGAGACCCGAGTGTGCCGCATGAGGGAGTGAGCTCCCGTCTCTAGTTCCAGCTCCTACCAACCTAGCAGTTCGAAAGCAAGAAACTGCAAGTAGATAAATAGGTACCACTTCAGTGGGAAGGTAACAGCCTTCTGTGCACCTTGGTCTTTAGTCATACCAGCCACATGACCACGGAAACGTCTTCGGACAGCGCTGGCTCTTCGGCTTTTAAATGGAGATGAGCACCGCAACCCTAGAGTCGGACTCGACTGGCTTTCGAGCAAGGGAACCTTTACCTTTACCTTTTACTGTATTATGATATAAGCCAATATGCTCCTCATTGTGTTTGACCTCTGAAGAAGGCCTGTACAGGCCGAAACGCGTCAGGTCAAGTCCACTGGCCCTTGTGTGTAAGATTTTGGCATGAGGTGTGATTGGGCCCTTATATGTTTTTTAATTCTTTGCTAATAAATACATACATCTTTTTATATTATAAACCTTCAGTTTTTATTGTTGGCCCTCTATTCTGTTTGACTTCTCTTTTTAGGTTCTGGTTCCCACAAAATGTAACGCCAGGTACTGGAGATATAGACTTTATAAAGGACACAGGCAAACCCAATTGACAATATTAGTTTTTACTCAACATACAAACAAAAGCAACTGATTTACCGGGGAACCCACACAAGCCCCAATAAATGTGTTTAATCATATGCAAGACTAGGTTTTTTTCCCCAAGGGATACCATAAAAGGAGGGGTACCTTATATTTCCATACATACCAGTTGCTTGCAGGCTGGGTAAAAGCCCTGAACGGGCTGGTTCCGCCCCCCCCCCGGGCCTTTCGTTTTACACCC